ATCCTGAACTCTTTTGGAAGTTGCTGATCACATGCTTACCACTTGCAATATTGAATGGTTGATGCTGCCCAAGCTAGTTACTGCAGATAATGTAGTAATTAAGGAAAGATGAAAATTGCTAGTATATACGTTGATGCATTCGCAATGAGGAAAGATCTCAGCATTATTGCAATATTGCTTGACCGTGGGGAAGAGTTTGAATGTATGATTTGGCTTGGTTTAGGAGAGAGCCTAAAACATTTGGGGACGAAATTCGAATTAAAAAAATTTGGTTGGGAGACGATGGAAATTTATCGGGTAAGCCCCAATTGAATTAAAAAAAGAGCCAAAGGAGTAATAGCATATTTATTAAAATCAACCCGGCAAAAGAATCGGGTTGGCGGCTCAGTGGTTCAACCTGAAATGAAATGAAAATCAGAATGAATGGAATGGATCAGTTTGTTCAAGAAGTAAAGCCGGATACATCTTCACCCATTGATTGTAAGGATCCGTGTGTTGCACGGGCAACTAGGAATGGTTCCCTTTCTCACTATCTTGGACGGACAGTATGTTTACAACATATACTCAATGTACACTTTGGTCTATCTAATGTACAGTCATTTATAAACATTTTATAATGTATATACTCTGCATATCAACCATTTGATTATTCATGGGGAAAACCACTGGACCAATGGCTCAGTGGCCACCACCTAGTTGGTGGGGTGGGAGGCAAGGGCCAATGGCTCAAACCTTGCCTCCCACCAAAATGTCACATTTAAGCGGCAGGTGTGCTGTGCATCCGTCTGATTCGATAGTGATTCAGTCCTCTCCGGATTATTCCTGGGCCTCCTTAAATCCGCCTCCTTCCCCTTAGTGTAGAATAAATTAGGTTTATCGTCTCCGAAAAAAAAAAAGATTATTCATGGGAAGAAATAGGTTAGATAATAGGAAGAAAAAAAGAGAGTGCAAGTGAGATGTTCAAATTCGAGAAAATAGGCCCATTTGGTTACACATAAGTAACAAAGGGGTACATTATACAAAGGCTAAATGTTGTAGAATTCAAGACTCGAATGTTGAAATCAGCCTCATTATATTATACAGGCGCTCCATGCGGATTGATAGAGATACCCCAATTCAAAGAAAGCAAGACTTTTACTCTTAGTTTTAGGGGGGCAAACAAAATCCAATGCATGTAGTCGAAGTCGAATGAGAGTCTGACCATCATCCAATACTACGGGCAAGAAAAACGTCGTACGTTGCATGAGTTAATCATTTTCTTGATTTTAAAGGCACATTATTAGAACAAAGCTACAAACTAAGTGAACTAATCTATAGTTGATTGAAAAAAGAAAAAAAAAAACTAACTTCTAGCTAGTTGACATCATGGAAATTGATTACTATCATGCACTCGTTCAGAAGATAAGTTAATCAAATTTGATCCAAATCCCAACAAAAGTAAAATATTCCTGGAAGACAAAGAAAGACAACAAGTGTCTAGATAACAAGTACTTTTTTCTCTATATTCGTGTGCTGACTCAATGATACACTCTTATCAAAATTGAGTTAGACCACTTCCATTGAATTGGGCATTTGAATTCTGATGTTCGAGCCGACGATGAATAGTGTATTAGGTACATGTACAGTCAAAGTTCGGAGGAGATTTTATAATACATGATGACAATCAATATACGTGATTCATCTAACTAGAATAAGTAGAGAATGAGGTAATCTGAAATTAGATTGATGATGAAATCTGTATTCTCATTATCGTAAATTAATGCAACTATCTCACATTTTTACGTCAGATCCTTTCTTTAATTAGCCTGTTCTTTACACTTTGGACCCTGCAGATTGTTTCTTTAGCCTGTTCTTTACACTTGAAATGAAACGAGCAAAAGAATTTCTTTCCCTTGATTTCTATATTGCAAGTTGTACATACGGTAGCTTAATTAATAGGGCCAGAATCATCAGCATTCAGGATCATTTTGAATCAGAAATGTGGTTAGTTAATTGTTGTAAAGTGCTATAGATGGATGGATGAGACCTGAAATCCAAAGGTCTTATTGATTCTTACAGTAAAAGGAACATAAAGAATGTAACGCATTATTGCCAAATTTCCACTGCATTTCTCCTGTCTGGCGTCCTCCTGATGCATGTTTAGCTCTTGAAGTGCTCTAAAGGCAGTGATACTTTTTTTTTCCCAAGGAATTTTGTCTGGCTTACTCCTCGTCACCAAAAGCGAACTAATTATAATTTAGCTAATAGGGCCAGATTTCATGACTTCTTGAATTCAAATAATTTTACTATACAGAAAAAGGGACTTGCCATGAGTTTGATGTAGAATTTCTAAAATGAGGGACATCGTTTATAATTTAAGAAATGCATTCCAGTCTCTAAATTCTGAAATAAGTTCTAGCTGTCTCTTTCATTTTATACGTGATATTCCATATGATTGGAGTCAACCGAAATTATCAGCTTCAATTTGGGAATCCAAGATTGGTGAAAAATCTCTTCTTTTCGGTCAAGGAATAATTTTTCCAACTCCTATAATATCACTTCATTGCTATTGATATCAAAACCTTTTATAATGCACTCCAAATCTAAAAGAGTCCCATGCAAAGACATCTGTACAAATCCTGAAGGAAGGGTAGCACCCGAAGTTTATGTGTTCAACTCCAGAATTATGGGTTTGGAAGCTTTGGCTTCTTCATTTGCCTCTCCATTACTGACATTGGAGAAAGGAGTTCAGATTGTGACAAACATTGAAGTCCTTAATCAGATGCCAAAATTTTGTTCAGTTTAATTTAAAGAAACAATCAGATCATGGGCATTGGAGGTAATTACTGTGGCCGGGTAAAACTTTCGTAATCTGTCAAAAAGATTTTAAAGAATATGCACATAACCACCGATACCGCAGCCGAGTTGTGACTATTCCCATTTCCCACCAATGGACTAAACCCAATGTAATGGTGCAAAGTAGTACTATAAACGTTATCCTACCAAAAGAAATTAGTCATTTTCCCTTGCATGTAGTGGACATTAAACTGTAGACCTTGTGGAGCTAAGTGCATAACATTACCTCAGCTTCACCATCCTGAATATTTAACTATTTGACAAAGTAATCTAGACACCAACAATAACTTAAGGAAAAAATTCACCTTTTGAGATTGTTGATTGCCACAACGAAGTTCACAACATTTATTTTGGTTCTCAAATATGTTGGTACGTAAGTGCGATCTTGCGTATGTGAACTTGCTAGCAATTGGCACACCGGCTGGGACTATTGTCCACAATTGGCACTAATACCTTTTTATGGGCAAAAAATAAATGTAATTGGATAATTGGCACCTAAATCAATGATAACCTTAACATTAGTGCTGCATTTAGCCAATATAATTATCTTATCTACTTCTAACTCCATCAGTTAATTAGTCCACTTGCAGCTTCTTTGCCCTTGTATAATGTGTGTCAAGGGATGACTACGTCTCAGCTATAAAGTCTATATACTTTAACGGAGAGTTTGTAACTAAGTTTGGAACTAATTGGCTTATTCCTTTATTGTACAGTATGCATCTACCCCTCCCCCCCCCCCCCCCAAAAAAAAAGGCAGACCTAATGCAATAATTTTTCTTAGGACAGAAACAGTAAATAATTCGAAGACATTACAACAGATCATGTGGATCTGAGGTAGTTCATATAAAGGGGCCAAACATTGCAGCCTACTAGTTGTTTACAATCTATCAAACTACCCGGCTCTTCTCATGACATGGGGATGCAAATAATACAATAGAACCAAAGCATATCTCCATTATTAGCTGCATGAGAGCTATGACAAAGTGTCAGGTAAGAGTTTCTTTTTGTGACACCACCTGTGGGTTTGCCTCCATTTCATACGTGAGAAAATCTAATATATATACAAGTCCACAAAAAAAAAAAAAAGAATAATCAATTGGCAGTTTTAATCTGTTCAAGCATTCTTGAACAAAATGCTGTAATCAGCAGTATAGGAGACTACATGTTTGGACAAGGAATAATGTTAGAAAAGTAATTCAAAAACCTGTTAATTAACAACTTAATGTCATGCATCTACCAAAATTAACTCGTGAATCTTTCAATCTCGGTCTTAAGTAAGCTACGCTATCAAATAATATTGGTTTCAACAAGAAAATGATACTAGCTATTTGTGCTTTTAGAGAACTTAAATCATATATTTGATGTAACTAATGCGAACTCTCAATGGTTTGCAATGATCAAACAATGATTTAGGTAAGGAGTATCCAACTGAATAAACAAAGGCACCACAGTAAAACGTTGCTATCAGCACTAGCCATCCTTTTGGTTAGTTAAAAGTTCCTCTAATTCGAATTGTATATGCAATGTGCTTATTTTTTAAGTGCGCTTCAGGGTCGCGCGTATGCCAAGGCATTGAACTACATTCCTGAGGCAGCAATGGTCGTATGCCAAGGCATTGACGTACTTGTCTAACAGGGCATGAGTCGGATTCCTTCATGCTGTATGACTCATGCTGACAAATGCATCTAGATAAAGAAAGTTAAAGGAGTACGTAATAAGAATGGTAGGTCGGAAAAAGTCTTGATATCATACTGCCATAGACAAACTAGCCTCGAAATGACTCAGCAAGATGCGTGATTGTTCCCATGTTATGTTTCTGTGCTCACATGAACTTATGCAACAAGAAACGTTATGAAACCTTCGAATCTTTTGTCAGATCTTACGCGATTTGGGAAGTTCTTATGAATCATGTAAAGATTTAAGATAAAGAAAGAGTAATTACATACTGATACCATGCATTTCCCGATTTAATATGTTTGAAAATTCTGTACAGACTGACAAGCGGAGTGACTAATCTCTTGTTATTTGATCTCTAGTTAGGCCCATATGATTTGCACTCTTCTATAGAATGCTGGCGCAATACTAGGCTAATTGTTCATGTTTCATCTAAAGTTGCAGGGGAATTCCCCAGTAGACGCTAATGAAGCTCATTTTGCAACGAAAATTTCGAGATGGAATTAATTTTTTTTAATTCTTCAAGTGCACACAATAGCAATGAAGATGAAAGAGTACAAACAGAGGAGGTTGATCTCACTACATCTATATAGTTCTGTCACAAATAATAAAGAGAGATTGGCAAAAGAAGAAGTATATAACTATATCCCCGCCGCCGGGGGGGCCTTTCCCAAACAAAAAATTCCAAAGTTACTTTATATTCTAGTAGTGTTTCAGGAAATGGGGAGACCTGAAACTCAATATGGGAGCGCAAGAGTTGCAGGCACTGGTACTAATTTGCCCCTAAGCTTGTTTCGTCATTTCGTGTCATCTTTTTTGTCTTCCTTCTTCTCTTCTTTTTTCTCCTCTTTCTTCTCTTCTTTGGCAGGACCAACTGATACTATGTCTATTTTTCCAACTTTCTTCAACTTTTTTGCAATTGCAACCGTATCCATTTGACCTGTTACCGTTATCTTCTGCTCCTTCATATCAACAGCAATCGAATCGACTCCTGTCCATCGATGTAACGTAGAGAGAGTTTTCAATTTCAGAATCAAACAACAAATGAGTTAAAGAAAGGAAGAACATCATAGTTTTCTCAACTAGCTATACAAGAACTGAAGGGTTCAGCAAGATATTTGATGAAAACTACCGTAAATGTCAGCTATGGCCTCCATCGCTTTTTGCTTAGTCTTCTCGTCACTCATGGTCATGAGTTTCAGCACCACCTTTTGCTGTATCCATTATCCAAAAATAAGGTCAAAATTTGCAGATATGAAGCAACATGTTTCATATCGTTCACAATCAATACGATTAGCAAAAATGATGATAATTATTAACAATAAAAAAAAAAGTAATAATCAGCAGACTGGAACATGAGATGAAATTTTGTCGAGATGAATTAATTGATACCTGTTCCATGTTTCTTGTTGAAACAAATTCTATAGAATTTCGAAGAGGATGCCACCAGAATATTGGCTGAGATATTTGGAGAAGTGGAATGAAGGGTACTCTTGAACTCCTAACTTGTACCTTTCGTGGGCAGGCTCCTGAATTTTAAACAAGAGATATGGTCAATGTCAGGCATATTTTGGTACGTAATCCAACCACCTGCTGTTTTCATGCTTCTTTGGCATTTCCTCCGGGCAAGGAATCGAAGAACCGATTCATTTTCCCATAGTTTGATTCATGAAAAAGCTACAAACAAACAGTTTTTCTCTACTTTGAATTAAACGTTATGTCTAGTCATTTCCTCTTGGCAAATTTTTTAGTTAGTGTCCTCGGATTGAAGCACAGTTGTTGCTCTTGTAATTGCAAATAATGCAATTTGTAGGCCTGGCTGACCATCGCACGTCTGTCTTCCGCGTTCCAGCTCATACAGCAAAGATTATCATGGAGGCAAAAATTCAACGCTTGAATAATAGCTTAATGACAAAACAAGCCATGTTTTATTAGTACATTATTGTTTTTTTTTTTTTTTGTTGTCTGCAAAATATTCTTGAAACCAATATAACTTTTTTTTTTCCAAAAATGACAACTGTAGTATATCCTAATCTATCCTATACCAGGGAGAGGGGTGGATCTAAGGAAGTCCAGGGTAACTCTGAGGGGACTGAATCACTATCGAACCAAATAGATGCACTATACACTAGTTTGGATTTTTTGAAGCAAATCCACATTTTAATGTGGTAATTGAACAATTGCCTCCCATCCCACTAAACCTTAAAGGCTTAATAGTGGCCACCAACCCAAAGGCTAGTGTTTTTGAAACCAATAAAACAAATACACATAACTTTAATCTGATTTCTTATTTGTGAAAATTGATGGTAGTAGTAACCTAACAACATTGGTGTCTACAGTTTTGCCCCGTTACCAGACGCACAAAGACTGCATTAAACCCAAGGACCGTGTTTTTTGTTTTTTGGGTTTTCAGTTTGTAGGGAGCAGCCTTTTTTTCTTTTTTTGGGGGGGGGGGGGGGGGGGTGGAGGAGGGGGAGAGTGGGGGTGTGGGAAAATGGACCTTCAGAAATTTTAATCATGTGAAATGTCAAAAAAAAAAAAAAAAAAGGAAGTAGAACTTGGAGTTTCTCCTCTCATATTCAAGAGCAGAATAATTCTCTGTTGAACACGTCTCCTACGTTGGAGCGGATGATCCCATTGCGCTTTCCACTGCATTCGCACTGAGCCCATTACAAGGCAAGATATTCATTTCATAGGATGTGACAATGGGCCAAGACCATGACACATTTCATTGATTTTGGGGAAACCCATGTAGAACTTTATTCGGTAGACAGGACCTATGCCGGAAATGAATAAGAGATGGATCTCAAGTCACAAAATTGCCGGTCTATTCGCAAAATCACGATGTTGGTGCTTGAAATGATCATTATTTGTGAATATTATTTTACTTGCATTATAAATATATTTATAATTATTTTTTATCTTTTATAATCACTTTTTTTATCATGCATATGCCACATTATAAAAAAAAAGTACATACAGTATTATTCTAAATATATTTTTCAAATAATCTTCGATAACACTTAAACATTGTTGATACTATTTTTTTATTATTTTCGATATTACGTTCCGAACAGTTTACCTTTTTATTGATCAACCATTTGGCAAGGTCTCTTTTGGTGTAAGAGTTAGGTTTCGGTGTTCTTGAGATGGAGCCAGAATTCTCAGGCATTCAGCTTGTCCAAAGATTACAAGTTTTTCCATTTGCTACCAAAAAAATATGGAATTTTCAAGCCACAATTGGCTTTATTTCACTTCTATTGGCATATGATAAGGGAGTTCTAATGCTAATCTTTTTGCAAAGATAAGTGCGAATTCACAATAGGACATCAGTCCACTCATGTCTCCCAAATCTTTGTTAGGTAGAGATAAAATAACAATATTGATGCAACGCACTTCTTCGGCCAGATGTATCAAATTGTAGCGAGACAAGACATTATCTAACTGGTGATGAAAAAATAACTAAAAATCTATTGCTTCCCTGTACATAACAGTATATATACTTGCCTTTTGAATTCTCATTGAAAATCATTGAATTGTGTGTGTGCGTGTGTGTGTGTGTTGTTTGGGGTGGGGTGGGGAATGACCTCAACACTTAAAAACCTTCAATATTTTTTGTTTAAAAAGGCTTAGGTAATGTATTTTTATCCATCAAATAGTTAGGCTGATCATGGATCTGGTTAAGCATTCCGAGACATTGAGATCCATGCTCCCATAAACTGCTATATTCTTGGATTGAGCTTTGCAGCAACGTCAAATTCTGGAACTCTGCAAAAAGTCAAACAGATCCCCAGTTGTGGAGGAGCGTTGACTCTTATCCATCACAAAATTCTTTGTTTCTTGGCCTATGTCGGTTAAAATAAAAAGCTTGTACCAACAATCTGAGGTATTGCGCTATCATTCTAAAGACTCAAAAATTAGAAAAAAAAAATATATGGGCACTATTATTCTAAAAAATTGTGGTTTCATTTTACACCGGAATTGGAATTACGAATTATCTCCTCTGTAATTGTAGTCTAATACGTATAGGATAAAGTTAACACAAACCACAATTTGGGGATAGAAGGGTCTATGATTAGTAAATTATGACGAAAAATTCCATCCAAGAATGAATGTGCATGTGATTGCGCAGGCAAGGGGCTAATAATACAAACCTTCTTCAAGGTGAAACGGCTTGATTTGTTGGACCGACAATTTGGGCACCAAGATGAATAATTATTGGCTTGTTTTGACTTTTCTGCCGAAATCACAAAATGCTACTCGCTAGTTGCTACTACTATGTCTTCAAGTAGAAGCCCAATTTAGCACAAGGTTAATGACAATTGATCACATAAATGCTTCACTAATTTTCGCCACTCACAAAGAGTCTCATCATAGAAAGTAATTATAACTACAGTGCTTTAGGAATCTAAGACATGAAAAAACAGGGAGGAGTTTACTCAATCCGACTCCCATCACCGCTTCGGCCTCTCCGAAATATTGAAAGCATATCTTGGTAGTTGTACAGAGTCGTCATCAACTGAAAGCATGCAAAATTCTGGATTTTATAGAGATCTGTCAAGCACAAAGTTTTGGAGGGCACCAATGAAAAAGGGTCCAAGAACCTCTGCAACCATCATGGTCCTCCTCTTTCTTCTCGTAGCAGTGTGGATTTCTTCTTCATGGATTAACTCTGTAAGTTTTCAGAACTCATCTAGACAAAATTCAACATAGTACTACGTCCCATATGGACGCATGAAGAATTAAATGGCATATTTGTTCTTGCTAAATCTTGAAACCTCAAAACTAATCTAATTTACCTTTGTCTGAAAATCTTAGTACCAGTACTTTTCTGTTGTTGTGCAGACAACTTTGGCTGTAAGCAATGAAAGAAAGCAACAAATGATTGTTTCTACGCCGCAGAGGAATTCTGCAAAGAGGAAGATTGAAGTGTCACTCAATTGTTCCTTGGGAAATTTGACACAAACATGTCCGTCAAATTATCCAACAACGTTTGGTTTCACTGAGTCTGAAACTGACGACGGATTGTCAAATGTGACGTGCCCTGATTATTTCCGCTGGATCCATGAAGATCTAAAGCCATTTAGGTCCAGTGGGATTACCAGGGACATGGTGGAAAGAGCTAAAGGGACTGCCCATTTCAGGTTGGTAATAGTGAAGGGGAAGGTCTATGTGGAAAAATACAAGAAATCAATACAGACTAGAGATGTGTTTACGTTGTGGGGGATTCTGCAGCTTTTGAGACGGTATCCCGGAAGGTTACCGGACTTGGAGCTCATGTTTGATTGTGATGATCGGCCGGTTATCCAATCGCGCAGCCATCGTGGACCAAATGCAAAAGCGCCACCACCATTATTTCGGTATTGTGGGGACCCGTGGACACTGGACATAGTCTTCCCTGATTGGTCTTTTTGGGGCTGGCAAGTTCTTCTAACCCTTTCTTTCTTTGGAGGTTAACTCTGTACATGCCCTTTTTTTTTTGCCATTATTTTCTTCCAAAACACTAGTAATGAATAACAAGCATGATAGACGGGATTTGTCTGACCATTATTTTAGACTTATTAAATGCATACATTTATATTTAACTTCGGTTGTGAAAAATGCTGCTGTTGGATTTGCTTTAATCTGGTCCCTATTGCTATGGGGCTTTTTAATGGAATGATGATGGCTGTAGAACAAGAATAATGGTAGGTAGTGCGTCCAGAAGTCCATTGTCTTTTGGCCAGCAGTGAGTGGTGATGAAGATAATAAATAAATACACTATACAAGCCACATTATCATGAGTTGTAGTAGTAATATTTTATTTTGTCCTCTAATGGGATCAATTCCGCGCCCACATCTAGATATTATTATTTTCCACAAAGTGGGTGTCGTTTTCTCATCTCAGAAGATGGGCTCCTGTGGCTAATTGCTGAACCGAAAGAATGGGTGCAGGGCTGAAATTAGCATAAAACCGTGGGAGAATATATTGAAGGAGTTAAAAGATGGGAACAACAGGATCAAGTGGATGAAGAGGGAACCGTATGCCTACTGGAAGGGAAACCCTTTTGTAGCTGACACCAGAAAAGACCTCCTTAAGTGCAATGTCTCGGACAAAGAGGACTGGAATGCTCGCCTCTTCATCCAAGTAACTTTTATCCAATTAATTTCCATGGGGAACCTCGTGTGACTGTCATCATTAGTGAATAGAAGCATTATGTAATGTAAAGTAGCTACAAAATTCATACTCAATCATCACACTTTTGACCCGGATTTAGATAGTGAAGATTGACATTTTAATGGATTAATCATATCGATCCTTTCTTGATCGAACAAGTTTTTGTGTGATATTGTACGTTTTGTAGGACTGGATCCGTGAGTATGAACAAGGGTATAAGCAATCAGACCTTGCAAGTCAATGCACTTACAGGTACGCTTCTTTCTTCATTACCATACATATACCTGGTACTGTTAACTTCTTATGAAAGTAACATTTGGACAGTGAATTTTCTTGCTTCAGATACAAGATATACATTGAGGGATATGCATGGTCTGTTAGCGAGAAGTACATTTTAGCGTGTGACTCCCCTACATTGCTTGTAAATACCAATTTCTATGATTTTTTCTTGAGAAGCATGCAACCTGTACACCATTACTGGCCTATAAGAAATGATGACAAGTGCAGATCGCTCAAGTTTGCTGTAGATTGGGGTAACAGCCATAAACAAAAGGTACTTGATGTTTGATCTATGCTTTTCACATTTGCTTAATATATCAGATGTGGACTATAAGCAAATTCGTTAGTTAGCCCTTTTGCATTTGGAGACTACATGGCGGATCGATTACTGTTGAATGCTTGCAGGCACAGGCAATTGGAAAAGCTGCTAGTGATTTCATTCAGGAAGAGCTCAAGATGGAGTTTGTTTACGATTACATGTTTCATTTATTGTATGAATATGCAAAGCTTTTGAGGTTTGAGCCAAAAATCCCAGAAGGAGCAATGGAAATATGTTCAGAAACAATGGCTTGCCATTCAAATGGAACGGAAAAGAAGTTCATGTTGGAGTCTTTGGTGAAGAGTCCATCCGATAATACTCCATGCACTCTGCCCCCTCCTTATGAACCTCGCGTTCTTGGAGCCTTTCTCAGAAGGAAAGCTAATTCAATCCGGCAAGTGGAGACCTGGGAAAACAATTTCTATGAGAGCCTTGAAAATGGTAGCAAGAGCAAAACTTCCTAGGCTGACAAGACTTGGGGCTTTTTTTCTTTTTCTTTTTTTTTCTTTTCGAGGCCTCATATTGATTATTCTTGTGGCCTTGAGAAAACACCGGCATAAAACTGCAAGTCAAAATATACAATTTCTTTCGAGATGGTACTATATATACTAACAAAAAAGAGATCTATTTTTTTTTTGTTTTAATTAGCGTATTAGCAATCTCTACTTAAACACAATAAGTAACTTCCGTAGAAAGCAGTGATTAATGACTAGTTAATCCTAATCTTGTACAAATATTTCTTCTTTTTTTTTTTTGCTATACAGGTAGAAGAAGTTGTATTTTTTATAGGTTTTTTTTTAACGGATAGCTAATGAGCATTTATTAATATACCTAACTCATACTCAATTTATCATATGAATGCACACGCTAATAATTATTACCTTGTTCTTGCTTTTATACACTTTCTCTAATTAATTTTATTTTTGAAAAAATTTAACACGTGAATTACAGACCCTAATTATTTTGGATATATGATTTCTGGTTGAGAATTGTTTACACCTACGAATTGTATAACAGCCAAATAAACAACCAGAACGCATTGGGCTGAGAAGTGAAACGATACTTGATCTGAATTTAACGTCCGTGGCCAAAACCCATCTGCTAGGGACGTGGCTTCATAAATTGAGGCCCATCTCAGCTACCTTGTCTTGGGCCCTTCTGGTGTGAGCATACTCAATGCCCCATACCTAACCCAAGAATTGTGAGTAAAATTGGAATATTTTCTCTTGCTTGGGTTTTATGGTTGTTGATTGCTGAAGCATATTAACTTTAGACAATTCCATTCCAACAATCACTTCATTTATTGTCGGAAATTTAATAAACCTGGCAAGAAATAAAATTGAACTTCTGAAAGGTCTCCTGGAAAAAATAAAAAAAGAAGAACAAAAAAAATCTCTCTAGTTACTACTAATCTTTAATCATATAACCATTCATAGGCATCAACTAATTTGCCGAACTTATTTATTTGAAATACGACCATTTTGATAATGATAGCGTGGAACCCTAGTCAACGCCTTTGCCACCCGAAGGAGTTATCGAGGCCTCACATTATCTCGACTCTGAGTCGTTTTTCATTGAGATGTGACGAACGTTCGCATCTAACATCTAATCTGATACTCGACATATACTACTTGTGTAAAGTTGACCTAGGGTGCCCTTGTAGCTGTCGCATCATCCTCAATTTTCGAGATCCATACTGTGGCTTGCAGGTATAAATACCTCTCCTCCTTACACTCAAATGTAATATCTACTTGTCAACCTATATACTCGTCTTCTACTCCTAAACTCCCTATCGTCTGATTTAAATATCAGAGTCTCCCCATGGGATTTAGCCCTGACTTTGTCTTTTGAACAAACTTGAATTAGGGCCATGCGTTAGGAAACGAAAGCTTAGAGATTCATCCACGGTTCCTTTTCTAGTACATGACTGATGTCCAAGGCTAATAAATCGTTTAACCAACTGCCCCGCTTTTTGACAGTTTTGATGTGACCAGGAAACCAATTGGCGAACTAGTTCTTTCTTTCTTTCTTTTTCACCAAATGCTGCGCTTTCTTGCTTTCATTTGTTTAACGCCTCTTTCAAATTTCTTGCTCTCTAATTTTGCTAATCTTGCTGAACATGACAGCATACCAACCCCTCCAATTTCAGATCAAACGTATGAAACATTGGTGTAATGCCAATCATGCATAGATTTCCAAATGTGTGCAAAATTTATATATTTTCTAATACTAGGTTAAGCCAAAAGGGACAGATGTTACATTTTGCCCAATTGCTTAAAATTCAGTTCTTAGTCTGGATTGAATTCAGTTAAAAGCGAAGGTGAAGGAAAAGAGAAAGACGAACCTGTTCTTCTTTGCCCCTCAGAAAAAAGATGAAGCTGCAGATCCTGGTAGTTTTCATTATAGTCTAGGCACATTATTATTTATTCTATTTCATGTCTAAGGAAAGTCAATAATCGCGCTTTTACAATCCCTATGAATTTCGTTTTTGCTTGGAACTAACTCTAAAGAAGTCAGCGGAAGTTTACTTTGATCCGGAGCTGATGTGCTACTAAGTAGTACACTATTTGCCTATAAATCAAATAAAGGATGTTAAATCCTTTTTGCATATCTAATGTTATTTTAAGATAATAAGGATGTTGAATTTTCAATAATTGGAATTATATATATATATAAGGCACCAACAAATGAGGGAAATGACGCCCCGTTTGGCAAATGAGTTTTTTAGATGTTTGTCTAAAATTTTACTGTAATTTACCGTAAAAATTGTAAAAAAAATTTTTAAAGTATGTAAATTTTTGAATATTTTAAAGTGTATAGTTTAAAATTTGTAAAAAAATTTTTAAGGTTACTGTAGTTAAAACTGTTAAAAAACTTGTAGCAGATAAACTTGGCCAAAAACTTACTTGCCAAACAAGGCGGACATCATTAATCTTCGGAGAGTTAAGGATAGAAGTGACATAAAAATTGCTAAACTGCAAGAAAACTTATAGAATGATCTCAATTGAGTTAACAAGCACATCTAAGCTTAATTGACCTAATTGTCTATCAAACTGCCCCCAAATTTTACTTTTTCTTTATTCCTTTTGTATAGATGGGGAAAGTTTTTCAAGACAACCCACATAGGACTTATAACCCCTCTCAATTCAAACATGTCGGGGTAGATTTGAATTAAACTTCGACTTGTCCTGTCCCGACCCACCATGAACGCTAAGCCTCATCACTCACTAAAGTTTCTTACGTTTGTTGGTTTTAAAAACTATGCTCATAAGACGTTTGAAAAGGAAAGGAAACAACTAATTAATTGCAAGTGTTTCATGCAGTAGATTAAACAAACCCCACACATAGGGCCCGACAAGGGAAAGTTCCAGATGAGTAATCAAGAAGGAGGAAGACAAAGGGAACCCCTCCACCACATCGTCAAGATGGCTTTACAAAAGCAGCAAATTACCACCTTGGAGAGTGTAATTAAATTAGCTGCTGGAGAGTGAAGACCATTTTTGTCCTATGTTTTGATAATGCGTTTGTTGTCGAGTATCATTCACGTCAACATTATTATAAGCTCCCAACCTTGTCACAATAAGAAAGATAACTATCAGAGAGTTTTTCTAATATGACTAGCAAAGTATAACGCATATATGCATGGTAATTTTTTACATTTTTTTTCTAACACGAGAGAGAACCCAATATATTTAATTTCTGAATATTCAACTTTAGTTGTTAGATCAAAGTCTCTCTTCGACCGTATAATCATGCTAAATATTTGTAAGACTGCTTGAATTTCTGTCCTGATGTTGTTTCTTTAAGCTTTCACTCTTCTTCTTCTTCTTCTTTTCTTATTTTCATCTAAGAATGGCTCAACAGAAATTTGTCTATTTGCCAAAAAATTTTTGAACTGACACCTAGTATATAATCAGATTAACGTCCTAACCAACTTAACTAGTTGAACTACCAGCAGTAGAAGTCTAAAACAATGGTTAAAGTGTAAAACCAACATTCGAACTTACTACCAGAAAAAAAAAAAAAGGAGGAAAACTTTCAAGACTAGAACCATATTTTTTTTAAATTTGAATTTATAATCAGTAAGAATTGAGATGGACCCTACAGTGCTTTCCCCTTCTAATTTCTTTTTGCCCTAGACAAATCATTATTGGAGATATATGAAAAAGTCAAAGAGGGTAGGACTAGTACATGAAGATGGGAGCATGTATAGTTTTCAAAACCATTTAGAAATTTGGACAAAAGCATGTTATTTTAAAATTGTCTAGTCTTGTAGTGTCTTGCTTGGAAGCACCGTCGATGAGGAGCCTCTGTGTTTAAACAATCTCCTTCTCCTTTCCTCACCCCAGAATATACAAATGGATTTTGATTATTATCAATGTCAAAAAATAATCACAGAGCGTCACCCCCAAAATATTTCGAAAATATCACCGTTCTAACAGCACAAAAATATATTTGTAAAAGATTTAAGAACCTAAAATTATGAAGAAAAAAAAAAAAAAAAAGGCATACTGTCTGTCTGCATGTCATTTTGCTTCTTGGTCTTTGCCTTCTCTCATTCGTGAAAAGGATGAGGTAAAAAGTGAAAATCAGTGGTAGGAGTTGTAAAAAATATTACCCTTATTCGATGGTTTGACTACTTTTTGGACATTCAAATTTGACGTTTTCCTAGCTAGTGTGCTGGACGGGCTGTGTTGGGACTCGCCAATTATCAACTAAGATCGGAAGACCATATGGTTCCCCTTTAATGATCGTGGTAAACAACCTGTCAATTGAAGAAAATTTATATCACCTTTTACTTTTAGCCATTGAATGATTTTTTTTTCTTTATAAAGAAAGCGTAGAATAGAATTTGGAGTCTTGGTGCATACTCTGGATGGACTTTGGCGCAACTGGAGAAGCCATACAGTGGAATTTTTTTTTTTTTTTTTTTTGGTTATTTTTGAGAAAGCGTAGAATAGAATTTGGGGTCCAACATATTCCCATGGGATAGTTTCTTGATTTATATTTGCTCTTTCCAAAAACATCTTGTTCTCTAGCTGCCTTTAGTCTTTCTTAATTCTTACTTCTCCAGGAACCAATTTGTTCCTTTACTTCCTTCTCTACCTTAACGTTTATGGAAATGATCCGTTATTTACCAAAAGTGAGAGTTTGAGGAAACCCAATATTGACCGAAACCCATACCTTTTTGTTCTCAAAATAAATCCCTTAAGTTCAACTTTCACCATCCCTTTGATATTTTAATACCTTCAGAAGACGTCAGAACTTTAGTTTCTTTTTTTGTTATTTCTTATCATGGAAGCTCAGATGATTTAGTTTTTTTTTGCTCAATCACCACTAGCTCAACTCTGCAGCCTTTTTTTCTCTGTCTCCCCAAACTCTGCAGTCTTATTAAATCGTATAGTAATAATTAAACATGGGGGGGTCGGTAACTTGATCAAGAATTAGGCATAACCCTTCCAATCGGAGGCCTTAAGTAGTTTTCTTGTCTTTAATAATGGTGTTCTTGTATTAATGCTGGCCTTGGTTTGAAGCTACGTGCATCAGCTGATCGGCATAGGAGTTCGAATTGCACGAAAGTCAACATTGTCAGCTGCGTTCCCTGCCCTACCACACTGAAAGGAGGGCAGGTTTTGG